TCACCACGATGTCCTCCTCACTCTACCCCACACCCCAGCCAAGCCTGAGGAGCTCTGGCCTCCTGCTCCCTGTTGCGCTCTGCCTGAAGTGGGTGCTGGAGGGCGACTGCAAGGCTGGGAGGTGGGAGGATGACTTGCGGCTTCCTGCCCGCTTCTTCCTAGAGTGACACCCTAGCAACACCACCCTGGCAGCGAAGTTCCTTCTGGCAGTCGGCCTCTGGTGCCAGTTTGGAGTTTTCCCCACACCAGCAGAACAGCCTTGCCGCGGTCACCTCAGAGAGCCCAGTGTCAGCTGGCTGCACTCCTTCCAGTCACCGGGGGCCCAGCCTGTGGGGCTGCCTTTGAGCTCAGAGACCCAGTGCCGGCCAGCAGCACCCATCCTCAGGGGTCTGAGTTTCAGCTTTACAGGGCCCTTTGCCCAGGTTTCTAAGTTTTAAAAAGTCCAGCCTCTTCTTTCATTTCCTGATCCTAAGGGCAGAAGGAACTTCCTGCATTTGCCATCTCCGTGGTATTTCCATGTACCCTCTTTACATCTTAGTGACCTAGTTGATGGTTATTGATGTTAAATGCTCTGTCCCCTGCTCTCAGTACCTGTGTGGTTAGCAGGGTGCTCCACCCCTGCGATGCGGCTTTCCTTTCTACTCATAGCTAAAGCGGTCTTAATATGTTTATTGTTTCTGGTTTTGAAACGGGGTTTTGCTCTTGTTGCCCAGGCTGGAGTGCAGTGGCGAGATCTTGGCTCACTGCAACCTCTGCCTCCTGGGTCCAAGTGTTTCTCCTGCCTCAGCCTACTGAGTAGCTGGGATTATAGCCACATGTCATCACACCCAGGCTAATTATTTTTATACACCAGTACAAAATTGTTACTGTTCTCAGAGCAGTTTGAAAACATTTAGTTTTTTTTTTTTTTTAGACAGAGTCTCGCTTTGTCGCCCAGACTGGAGTGCAGTGGCCGGATCTCGGCTCACTGCAAGCTCCGCCTCCTGGGTTCACGCCATTCTCCTGCCTCAGCCTCCCGAGTAGCTGGGACTACATACGCCCGCCACCTCGCCCGGCTAGGTTTTTGTATTTTTTTTAGTAGAGATGGGGTTTCACCGTGTTAGCCAGGATGCTTTCGATCTCCTGACCTTGTGATCCGCCCATCTCGGCCTCCCAAAGTGCTGGGATTACAGGCTTGAGCCACCGCGCCCGGCCTATTTAGTATTTTTGAGAAATAATGTTTTAGGCTTTTCCTTCTGGGCCCTTTTCTCCTTTGCCCGCTGATTTGGGAACTTGCTCCTGCCCGCACGCAGGTCCCCTGCTGCTTTGCTCTTGTGGTTTGCCTCTCCAAGCCTTCACCCCAGGCTTGCCACAAAGTTCCTTCCTCTTCCAGCCTGGCCCCCATCATCTGTGTCCACCCGCTTGAGGGAAATGTGTACACAACTGTTAAACTACATAATTAGCAAAATGTGTTTCATCAAAAGAGCAGAGGGGAGACTTGACAAGGAAGCCCAGGTAACTTGAGAATAATTAATGTGGAAAGAAAAGAGAGGACGTTCCAGGCACAGCCTTGGTGCGAGCTGCTTCCTGCGTCTCATCTGCCTTTGTCTTCACTGTTTTTCGTTTTGTTGGTTTTTTTGAGTGTCACTCTGTCGCCCAGGCTGGAGTGCAGCTTAAGGGTTTTCTTCAGCCTGGCCTTTCTTTCTTTCTTTTTTAATAACTGAGGCCCCGTTTGTTCTGTTCCCTGATCTCTGCTGATGTGCATTTGCTATTCTGGGGGCCATCGTTCCTAACTCACTGTCCCACAGGCCCCAGGAACCTTCTGTGGCTCTTCTGATTGTGGTGAGCGAACCTCAGTAGTGTTGAGCGACTATTAAAGGAGAAAAAACCCGCAAGAATTAGTGAGATTAATAATACGGAACTCAGTCAAAAGCCCAGGAAGTGTCAGATCGCATGTATTTTGGAGCTAATTGTAGCCACTCCTGCAGTGGTAAGAAATAGGACAGAGAGGGCCCTGTGCACTTTGCCCAGTTCCCCCAGAGGCACCTTTAGTAAAACTATAGTGATAGAGAATTTGAAAAGCAGCCAGACAGAATAAAACCTAATATAAACCATGTAGATTTGGGCTTGAAGATGAAAATAGAGACAGGTGCAAGAGATAGTTGACTGCACAGATGCCAGACTGGCAGGATGCGTGGTGGGCACGAGCTGATCTGGAGTCAGACGGTGTGGGCTCCAGTCCTGGCCCTGCCTTGCACTCTGTGTTCCTGGGAAGAGATGACCTGACCTCTCTCTAGGAGCTTCTTGTGGGGGATGTAACCAGTTGCCACAAAGTAGGGGGCTTAAACAACAGATGTTTCTCTCACAGCTCTGGAGGCCAGAAGTCCAGAGTCAGGGAGTCAGCCGGGCCACGTCCCTCACAGGCTCTGGGGAGCCCTCCTTGCCCTCAGCTTCTGGGGCTGCTGGCGATGCTTGGCATTCCTTGTGTGCAGCCTCATCGCTCCCATCTCTGCCTCCATCCCCACATGGCTCTTTTTCCCTCGGTCTCTGTGTCTGATTCTCTCCTTTTAGAAGGACACCAGTCTTGTGTGGGCGGCAAGCCACCCAGGTGCCGAGGCAAGAGACCGAGGGCACCAGCTGTTCCAGTGTAATAAAATACATAAAGTAAGAATAGTTCTACTAGATATAGGGCATAGATATGATTATTTATGAATATCATTAATCATTAGTTTGTAGTGATTACTCTTTATTCCAATATTATAATAATCTTCGCTCTACAATCATAACCTAGGGAAAACCAGGCCATACAGAGACAGGGGCTGAGGGGACATGGTGAGAAGTGACCAGAAGACAGGAGTGTGAGCCTCTGTCACGCCCGGGCAGGGCCACCAGAGGGCTCCTTGGTCTAGCGGTAACCCCAGCATCTGGGAAGATGCCCGTTGCCAAGTGGACCGTGGTCTAGCGGCAGTGGCAGTGCCAAGGAAAAACACCCACTACTTAGCAGACCAGGAAAGGGAGTCTCCCTTTCCCCGGGGGAGTTTAGAGAAGACTCCACTCTTCCACCTTGTGGAGGGCTTGACATCAGTCAGACCCGCCCGCAGTTATCCAAGGCCTAACCGTCTCCCTGTGATGCTGTGCTTCAGCGGTCACGCTCCTTGTCCGCCTTCATGTTCCATCCTGTACACCGGGCTCTGCCTTTTAGATAGCAGTAGCAAATTAGTGAAAGTACTAAAAGTCTCTGATATGCAGAAATAATGGCGTAAGCTGTGTCTCTCTCCTTTCTTTCTCTCTGTCTCGGCTGCCAGGCAGGGAAGGGCCCCCTGTCCAGTGGACACGTGACCCACATGACCTTACCTATCACTGGAGATGGCTCACACTCCTTACCCTGCCCCTTTGTCTTGTATCCAGTAAATATCAGCACAGCCTGGCATTTGGGGCCGCTGCCGGCCTCGGCGTCTTGGTGGTAGTGGTGCCCCGGGCCCAGCTGCCTTTCCTTTTATCTCTTTGTCTTGTATCTTTATTTCTACAATCTCTCGTCTCCGCACACGAGGAGAAGAACCCACGGACCCTGTGGGGCTGGACCCTACAGTCTTGTTGGACTTCGGGCCCACCCTATTCCAGCAGGTGTCCTTATCTTCACCGGTTACGTCTGTAAGGACCCTGTTTCCAAATGAGGTTACAGTCACAGGTTCTGAGCAGATGTGAGTTTTGCTGGGGACACTGTCCAGCCTGGTCCAGTGCCCGCAGAAACCTGGCTGAGTTTTCTCATCTGTGAAGTGTGGATAATAACAGAATTACTCTCAGAGAGTCCGCGAGAGGAGGCCGGGAAGAGCCGTGTAAAGTGCCTGACTGGTGGATGTTACTGTTACAGACGCCACAGGACCTATCTGGGACTGCCGTGGGTGTCCAGGGAGACCTCCGGCACTTTTAGGACCAGTGTTGGCTTGGAGAATGTCTTGTGTTCCTCCAGCTGCCCTGTGGCTCCTACGTGCAGGCAGGTGGAGCTCAGCTGTCACTCACCTCACGCACTTGTGTCCTGCACGTGGGCTACGGGCGCCCATCAGTTGCTCTCTCGGTAGGTGTTCACCTGTTGGCTTTGACCAGGAGACTTTTGTAGTGGTGATGTTTGCTCTGATGGATACTGAAGTAAACTATTGCGTGTTGCATAATGATGGGGATACCGTCGGAGAAATGTGTTGTTAGGTGGCTTTTGTCATTGTGCGAACATGACAACAGCACATCACAGACTCAAATGGCAAAACCTACCCTGCACCTAGGCCACTGGCGCAACCTGCTGCTCCTGGATTACATATCTATGCAGGTGCAACAGTTCCGAACGCTGCAGGCAGCTGTGGCACGATGGTTTTTGTGTATCTATTTTTATTTAGTTTTTTGAGATGTAGTCTCGCTTTGTTGCCCAGACTGGAGTGCAGTGGCACAATCTTGGCTCATTGCAACCTCCGGCTCCTTGGTTCAAACAATTCTCTTGTGTCAGCTTCCTGAGTAGCTGAGATTACAGGCGCCCGCCACCACATCTGGCTAATTTTTGTATTTTTAGTAGAGATGAGATTTCACCATGTTGGTCTGGCTGGTCTCGAACTCTTGATCTCAGGTGATCCACCTGCCTCAGCTTCCTAAGGTGCTGGGATTACAGGCGTGAGCCACTGCGCCTGGCCATATTTGTGTATCTAAACATAGAAAAGATTCCATAAAAGTATAGTAGTATAATCTCACGGGATCACTGTTATGTATGTGGTCCGTTGTCGGCTGAAACAGTGTTACCAAGTGCATGACTGCAGTGGCTGAAACAGTGTTACCAAGTGCATGACTGCAGTGGCTCAGGATCAACCTCCCTGTCCGTTAGTATAAATGCTCACTTTCCAAAACTTGTCAGGTACGAAATATTTTTAAACATAAACTTTTTTGAAAGTATAACTTAGTGCAATACCCCAATCAATTAAAATTTTATATGGGTATCAACTGATTAGACTAAATTGTTCGTTTTACTGTTTTGCTTGTAGCTAAACCATTTACACAGCTGGTGAAAGAAATGCAGCTTCATCGAGAAGACTTTGAAATAATTAAAGTAATTGGAAGAGGTGCTTTTGGTGAGGTAAGATGAACTTCATTTTGTTAACTTTGCCTAAATTGCCAAGACATCAGCAGCTTCCATTTCACCTTTTTATGGACCTGTACATTGGTTTGGGGATGAGGTAATTGGTATCATTTGGAGGGTTGTTTTTTCCTATCTCTTTTTCTGAGATGAGGTCTCACCATGTTGCCCAGGCTGGCCTTGAACTCCTGGGCTCAAGTGATCTCCCCGCCTCAGCCTTCCGAGGAGCCGGGGAGAAAATCTGAAAGATAGAATGAAGAGAAAGGAAACTCGAAAGCTTCTGACTAACCTGGGATATTGTTGGGACCAAAAATAGTTTCTTCAGATGTAGTTTTTGTTTTTGTTTCTGAGATGGAGTCTTGCACTGTCACCCAGGCTGGAGTGCAGTGGTGCCATCTCGGCTCACGGCAACCTCTGCCTTCTGGGTTCAAGCTGTCCTCATGCCTCAGCAGTCCCGAGGGACTCCAGATGCTGACACCACACCTAGCTAATTTTTGTATTTATTGTGGAGATGAGGTTTTGCCGTGTTGGCCAGGCTGGTCTCGAACTCCTGGCCTCAAGTGAGCCACCCGCCCAGGCCTCCCAAAGTGCTGGGATTACAGGTGTGAGCCACTGCGCCCAGCCTTCTGATATAGTTTCTGAAACTCCGTTTGTTAATTGAATTTTGACTTCTTGGCATTTTCTAAAAAACACAGAGAGGGATAAATAGCAGCTGTTTGCATGCTCTATGCTTGCTTGCCATTGACACACCCAGTGTGGCTCTGGGTCCTGTTGGCTTTGCCTAGGGCAAGAGGACCAGTCATGCGGGTGCAGCCGGAGAGGCTCACCAGGTCCCTTGTATGGGGCTAGGAGCCCTGCCCTGGGAGGCCTGTGGCACGGTGTGGCCTCACTTTCCAGGCCTCTCCACAGACCTGCCTCGGCCTCGCAAGACGGTTCTGGCAAGACCAAGGGAGAGGTCAGGCTCCCTCAGCGGCTGCGGGACCGCCTCAAGTGGTTTGACAGTGAGTCACCAGAAGAGCTTTGCTTCTTAAACTGTGCAGTTCCTTAGCACCTGTGCTGAGGTTTGAGCTAAGCTCTCCTCGGCTGGGGAACTGTGCCAGTTGGTTCATTGAGGAAAAATCAAACAAGAAAACGCCGTGTGTCACATCCCAGCAGCAGGTGTGCTCTGCCCACAGCAAACCTACTGGACACAACTACGAAGCGAGATGGCCTTTGCTGTCGCAGGGCATGCATTTTCCAACGTGCAGACGTGAAAGAAGGCAAATCAGTACTTTAGAGAAATAGCCCCCCTCTTGCAGCACCATCCCTGTGAGTGAGTCTCGCCAGAGGGATAGGGGAGGAGAGCAGTCCCTCCAAGGCTCATCCCAGGGTGACTGGAGCTCCCAGTTTATCTCGTACAGACCCTGGGTCCAGGCCTCACCAGCCAAAGTCAATTTACCACCGGCCAGGGTGGGACAGATTGTTTGTTTGTTTTGTTTGAGACAGGGTCTTGCTCTGTCACCCAGGCTGGAGTGTGCTGGCCTGATCACAGCTCACTGCAGCCTCTGCCACCCAGACTCAGGTGATCCTCCTTCCTCAGCCTCCTGAGCAGCTGTGACAACAGGCATGTGCTACCACGCCTGGCTAGTTTTTTTTATTATTTGTAGAAAAGAGGTGTCACTATGTCACCCAGACTGGTCTTGAACTCCTGGGCTCAAGCAGCTCTCCCGCCCCAGCCTCCCAAGTAGCTGGGGCCACAGGCGTGCACCACCACACCCAGCTAGGTGTTTTCCTTTTTTCTTTTTAGTAGAGACAGGGATCTCGCTGTGTCGCCCAGAATAGTCTCGAACTCCTGGGCTCAAGTGGTTCTCCTGCCTCTGCCTTGCAGAGTGCTGGGATTATAGGCATGAGCTGCTGTACCTGGTTGAGAAAGCCTTTTACAAATAAAAACGGATTGCATTAAGTGATTCCCTGTCTGCCTGCTACCAAGCATTGAGCTGCGCCAGGCGTGCGGGCTTGGAGGTGAGCAGGGCCCAGGCCACACACAGCCTGTCAGCCATGGCCAGACTTTCCAGAGTGCAGTTAGGAGGGAGGGAGAGGCACACCAGGGCAGAGACATGACCAAGGGAAATGGAGGAATGAGAGAGAAAATGGTTTTAACAGAATGGTTTACAGTTATTTTTAGTACTCTTTTTTTGCCAAAGAACTTAATGCGAAACTCAGTTTTGTGTGAGTTGCAAAGAAGATAACATTGATCGTTTTTTGAGCTCCTCCTGATTGAAGGGAGCCTGTCCTTCCCACGTGGCCTTTGCTTCTTGGATTCGCTCCTTGGTCTCGTTCCCTTGGAGCCTCAGGGTCCGTATCTGTGCGAGATGGATTTTAGAAATCCCCCGCAGCTGGGGTCGCGTGAGGGTGAAGCGGGGGTGTAGATGCGCGGCTCAGCACCATCTCTGGCGCGCAGAACGTGCCCGGTGAGTGGCAGCTCTCACGGTGACTCTACGATGTGACTGTGTGGTATTTGATGTTAGAAACAGGGAGGTAGATGATGATGCCATTTAAGAACTCTTCAGGCCGTGGCTGCCGCAGGCACGGGGACATGCTGGCTGCTTGCCACTGTCACTGCCAGAGAGTAGCTTACAGGAAGTGCTGAGGTGCAGACTTGGGCCTGTGCGTGAGTGACTTACGTAGGGTGGAATGTGCCGGACAGTGGTGCGGACATCTTGACGGGTGTTGGTAGTGATGGAGGAGCTCATTCAAGATTTGGTAGAGACTGAAAAGTCCAAGAGGACTTCCTGAAGGAGGTGGCACTTGAGTTGTGCTTTAAAGAATGTGGCTGGTGGCCACACGCTGAGTGCTGACTGTGCCCCACACTGTGCTGGGCACATTAAATGTCAGGACTCGTGGGTCCTCATAGCTGTCTCAGGAAGCCAGTCCTGCCCTTAACCTCTTGTAGTGGTGGAACCGGAGCCACAGAGAAGTGAATTTGCAAGAGTTAAACTCCAGAGCCCACGTGGCTAGTCCCTGCCTCTGTGAAGAAAAGGCTCGGTGCCGGCACTGGCACATGCTAGGCGGGTGGGGGCGCCACATACAGAAGAGACAGGGTAGGGGCGGGGGCACAGGTAGAAGGCACCGTCAGTGGTGGGCGGTGGCAGCCGCAGATAGAAGGCGGGGTGGGGGAGCAGGGAGTAGGGGCTGTTGAAAACAGACAAGCTTGGGAGGTAATCTTGAGTTTTTAAAAGGTGGGTTTTTTAGGGGGAGGGTTAAAATTTTTTTTTTAAGTTTTTAAAATTTTTTTCGAGACACAGTCTCACTTTGTCACCGAGACTGGAGTGCAGTGGCGCGATCTCAGCTCACTGCAACCTCTGCCTCCCAAGTTCAAGTTATTCTCCTGCCTCAGCCTCCCGAGTAGATGGGACTACAGGTGTACGCTACCATGCCGGGGTAGTTTTTGTATTTTTAGTAGAGACGGGGTTTCACCATGTTGACCAGGCTGGTCTCAAACTCCTGACCTCAGGTGGTCCGCCCGCCTTGGCCTCCCAAAGTGCTGGGATTACAGGTGTGAGCCACAATGCCCAGCTGAAATTTTTTTTTTTTTTTTTTTTTTTTTTTGAGACGGAGTCTCACTGCCCAGGCTGGAGTGCAGTGCCATGATCTCAGCTCACTGTAACCTCTGCCTCCCAGGTTCAAGCAATTCTCCTGCCTCAGCCTCCTGAGTAGCTGGGATTATAGAAGCACGCCACCACACCCGGCCTATTTTTTTGTATTTTTAGTAGAGATGGGATTTCACCATGTTGGACAGGCTGGTCTCAAACTCCTGGCCTCAAGTGATCCTCCTGCCTCAGCCTCCCAAAGTGCTGGGATTACAGGCATGAACCACTGTGCCCAGCATCACTTAGCTATTTTAAAATGCACAGTACATTTGTCGTTAACGACAGTTATCCTACTCTGCTGTCAAACATTAGAACTTTTTTTCTGCCTTTGTTGTAAGTGGAAATCTGCAGACGTAACCCAAAGTAGAGGGCAGTGAGCCACCACGTGCCCGCCACTCACAGTGAAGCTTTCGAATGTACAGGCAGGGCCCTTCAGGCTGCGGTGGGCTCAAGTTTTGATGCATAAAAGGGCAAATCTTCATTTACGTGGAAAACTTGGCTTTCAGTCACTGCTGGGTTCGCAGGCTCCTAGGCTGTTACAGTGTAGTTCCAGCACGCTAGCCTTTTGTTCTGGGAACCACGTTTGTTCAGCTCACATTTGCATTGCAGGTTGCTGTTGTCAAAATGAAGAATACTGAACGAATTTATGCAATGAAAATCCTCAACAAGTGGGAGATGCTGAAAAGAGCAGAGGTAAGTATGGAGCTTGAAGAGCCATACGAATGGGGTTTGGGGTGAGCAGAAAGTGACTGTGAAGCCAGCTGGGGAAAAGCTGCAGTCACCCCACAGCCCTGGGCCTCCCTTCCCCTGGGACAGAGCGAGCACTCTCTGTGGGGGAGGTCTCAGCCTCCTCCTGGCGCCCGTTGCTCCCCGCCTCGGCGATCACTCGCTTGCTGGACGCCGTTCCTGAGAGTGCACCCTCGAGAACGTTGGCAGGGTTCTGTTTACTGTAAAGGCAAATAAAAAGCTTCCGGAGAGTTTTAGCATTGATTGCAATTCTGCTCCATACACAAGAGGAATGAACACATTTGGACCCTGCTCACATACAGAATGGGTCTTTAGATTCCCACCTAGAGGAGCCTCGCGGTTATAGATGAAAGTGGACCACTACTCAGCAGGCTTTGATCAGCTCCTGTTTCTTAGTTCAGTGTCAGTCTTCTTGGTGGCTGTTCCATGCCCCTGACCCCATCTCTAGAGCCACGTGCTCAGCCCCTGGTCTCCCTCCTGCCTGCCCGAGGCAGGCCAGGCCTGCTGGGGAGCCCACGCTTTTCGTCTCTGGCCATCTTGAGTTTCTGTCCTCACCTGCCCTCTATCTTCCCTCCCCTGCACTCAGAGCCCAGGCCCTTCCTGGCCAGTTGACCTGCTGCTTCCTGCTTCAGATCTGCTCCGTCCATCATGCTCCTCTCCCGTGACTCCTGCCTCTCTCTGCCAGAAGGCAGTCCCTCCTTGCAGGCTGCCATTCATCACAATGGTTTGCTGTGGCCCCGTGTGTCTCTGACCTGCCCTGAGCGAGGCCTGTGCCTGGCAGCGCTGTGGCGGCTGTAGGCTGCTCAGCCCTGTGGTCAGCGCTTGCTTCTGGAGTTGGACGCCTCTCAACGTGGCCGCCACCTCATTTTGGGAATTCCTTCTTGGGTTTCTAGACCCTCTCCTCTCATCACTGTCACCCTCCTAGTAATTTGAGGTGACCCTTTCCTCTTTGGTCCTGGAATTTGTGCCTGTGCTGCCCATGATGGTTGGCACCTTGGGCCGACAGCAGTGCAACCATTGATTTGGGCCAGATCTCTCCAAGGCCCTGGGTTTTGTTAACTTGGTGGGTGTTACCAGTTCCTTGTGACTGTCATTCTGACTTTTCCCTCCTCCGCTCAGGACCCATTTCCCCTTTCCCTGCTATGGCACCCAGCACAAGGTCTCGCACCCATTTGTTGCTCACTGAGCGCATGTTGGTTGACAAGAGTTAGCACCATTTTGCAGTCACTTTGGTCTCAAAATATCAGTGGCCTGTGATTGCTTCGGCTCCCTGCATCTCTCAGCTTCTGGGATGCACATGGTCTCCCTTCCTTCTTTGGGAGAAGCCTTTGCTCTCTTTGCCTCCATCCTCACTCAGTCGTCTCACCGTGTGCTTCCGCTGGGCCTGCCCTCGGCCCCAGCAGCCCTTTCCCCACCCCAAACAGTGGCAAACATGGGAATGTTGTTGGAGCAGACTTTTAGGGGGAAAAAGTAGCTACTGTTACATGAAAGTGTGGAGAGGTATAAGGTGTTTGGTATTTACCCAAATGTCATGTTAGATGAGTACATTTTAAAAGAGTAAATATTGCTGATTTAATTTGAATCTGGTTACGCAGATCCAGTTTAACTGGCATGCTCAGAAAAGTCCAAGAATGTTTGCTAGTCGTGATGATTATCCTGGAGTATGTATAATGGGCTATATGTGTGTGTAAGAGATATAAATATGGTGCTAGTTGCAAATAATTTATCTTTTTATTTTTATTTCATAGACTTTAAACATTAGATTTTATTAAAAGCATGAATTAAACAAGAGGTTGGTAGGTAGAAGAGTTGCTAAGCAGTGTAAGTTTATAATTTTTCCACCAGGCTAGGTCTTTATTTCATCTTGTTTAAAAAATATTAAAAGTTTCTCTCGGCCGGGCGCGGTGGCTCAAGCCTGTAATCCTAGCACTTTGGGAGGCCGAGACAGGCGGATCACGAGGTCAGGAGATCGAGACCATCCTGGCTAACACGGTGAAACCCCGTCTCTACTAAAAAATACAAAAAAAAAAAAACTAGTCAGGCGAGGTGGCGGGCGCCTGTAGTTCCAGCTACTCAGGAGGCTGAGGCAGGAGAATGGCGTGAACCCGGGAGGCGGAGCTTGCAGTGAGCTGAGATCCGGCCACTGCACTCCAGCCCGGGCGACAGAGCGAGACTCCGTCTCAAAAGAAAAAAAAAAAAAAAGTTTCTCTCTCTGCTCCTTAGACAAAGCTGCTGGATAATACATAAGTTTCCTGTCAGCAGGTCACCCTGCGGGCAGTCCCTAGTTTAGGAATGGGTTTTTCCTAAGTGCTCTGGATAGCTGCCAGGCAGAGCTTCAGGGAGTGTCTCCTAGAGGCGTTGGCATAGATGCCGCAGATCCCTGGGGCAGCCTCGGCCTCCTGAGCCCATGGCCTCACCTCACCTGGGACTCAGCACTCCATCCCCATTTCTTTCTGGGGGTGTGTTCCGGAAGACAGGTGGACAGGCACACCGGGGCTCAGGTTTCCTTGTAGTTGCCCCTTTACCAGGCCCTTGTGGCCGTTGGCAGAGGGGTCGTGATGATTCCAGAACTGCTGGTCTCTGCATGTCTGGACATTAGCAAGCTGCATGCTGACCCGTGTCATGTTGTCATTAGTAGAACTGGGACACAGCTGCAACAACCATTTCATTTTTTTTTTTTTTCTTTTTTGAGACAGAGTCTCTCCCTGTCGCCCAGGAGTGCAATGGTGCAATCTTGGCTCACTGCAATCTCTGCCTCCTGGGTTCAAATGATTCTCCTGCCTCAGCCTCCCGAGTAGCTGGGATTACAGGCACCCGCCACCACGCCCAGCTCATTTTTGTATTTTTAGTAGGAACAGGTTTCACCATGTTGGCCAAGCTGGTCTCGAATTCCTGACCTTGTGATCCATCCGCCTCGGCCTCCCAAAGTGCTGGGATTACAAGCATGAGTCACTGTGCGCAGCCAACCATTTCATTTTAAAAGAAAACCTTTTTTTTTTTTTTTTTTTTTTTTTTAGAGACAGGGTCCCACTCTGTTACTCTGTTGTATGGGCTGGAATACAGTGGTATGATCTCGGCTGGGCTCATCGATCCTCCCACCTCAGCCTCTTGAGTAGCTGGGACTGCAGATGGGTGCCACCACACCCAGCTAATTTTTAAGATTCTTTGTAGAGACAGGATCTCACTATGTTGCCTAGGCTGGTCTCAAACTCCTGGGCTCAAGTGATCCTCCCGCCTTGGCCTCCCAGAGTGCTGGGATTATAGCGTGAGCCACCATGGCCAGCCTGAAAGGAAAACTTTTTAAAGTTTAGAAAAGAAAACCTTGTAGAAAGAAACAAGTTTCACAGGTCACTGTGAGACTCAGCTGAGAGCCAGTCAGAACCGTGCCCTCATGCCTCACATAGCAAGCTCTCCATAATGTACTTATATTTTTGTTAAGCTTGACAAGTTTCAAATGTAAGACAGTTTAAATCTTGTTCTGTGCTCAATAAAGAAGAAATCATGTTAAAATTTTGCCAAAGGCATGGTGACTTTTTTTTTTCTTTTTTTGAGACAGTCTCGCTCTGTGGTCCAGGCTGGAGTACAGTGGTGCAATTTCAGCTCACCACAACCTCTGCCTGCTGGGTTCAGGCAGTTTTCGTGCCTCAGCCTCCTGCGTAGCTGGGATTACAGGCACCTGCCACCACACCTGGCTAGTTTTTCTAGTTTTTAGTAGAGGTGGGGTTTCATCATGTTGACCAGGCTGGTCTTGAACTCCTGACTTCAGGTGATCCACCCACCTTGGCCTCCCAAAGTGCTAGGTTTACAGGTGTGAGCCACTGCACTCAGCCAGGCCTGGTGACTTTTAAACAGAGATGCCACCTGGGCATTAAAACTCTTCTGGAAGCCATAGCAGGATAGAGGGCAGCCTCTTGCCCTGTGCTGCTGGCTGTAGGCCTTCCTCGTGGAGTCTGTCACAATCGTGTCATCCCTATACTGTGATTTCAGCAAACGTGTGTGCCCTGTCCTGCCAGCTGCATGGCAGCTCAGCAGTGGGTATAGGATAGAGAGGGCAGACACGTGGGGCGGCCCATGCCATCGATACTTGGCGGAGGTTGATCTGGTCAGGTGGTGCCGGGTGGGAGGAGTCTAGTCAGGAATCCACATGAGGGTGGGGTGAATCTTAAGTGTTGGCCACAGAAGTGGTGCCTGTGGGACAGCAGGGTGCAAGGGCGTCCTCAGCAGCCCTTGGAAGTGCACAGGGGGTGGGAGAGGAAGGGATGAGGGATGACTCAGCCTCTGCAGCCTCGGGGTGGTGCACAAGGAGGAGCCCAGAAGGCAGGGACACCATGGCTGGAGCCACTGTCCCAGCAGGGACCCCGAGACTAGCAGGACGCTCTCTGACCTACTTCCCGGTGAACACAGACTGACACCCCTCATTGCTTTGCAGACCGCGTGCTTCCGAGAGGAGCGCGATGTGCTGGTGAACGGCGACTGCCAGTGGATCACCGCGCTGCACTACGCCTTTCAGGACGAGAACCACCTGGTAGGTTGCACGGCCAGAGACTTGGTCAGGGCATTCCTCTGGCTTTATTCCTTTATGCTGTCACTAAAAATTCAGTAAGACAACATGGAACTGGCGTTTTAAAAATGTGTATTGGACTGGATGAAACAGAGGGGCTTGTTTTCATACAGTAATTGTCAGGTAGAACCTGTGAAAGTAAGGACTTTGTTTTTTTCTAATCACTAGAGAAGCTGATTAGTTCGTTTGCTGGGTTTGTTACTTTTAAATCAGCTGGGAGTTTGAAACTCTTTGAATCTTGGATTATTGGGAATAAGGAACCGCAGTGGGGATTCAGCCATATGGACGTTTTTGCCTCCGTCTCATCTCGGGCTGAGTCGGGGAGTGCCTCTCGCGTGCCTGCAGTCCTCCTGTTGTCCCGCAGTGGGGCAGCTGCCCCAGGCCCTTCTGACAGGTTTTAGGTGACTCTTGGTCTCCACACCGCCTGTTTATTTTTCTGACTTAAACAGGGCTTGCTTTCAGGACGGACGGACCAGCCTCGTGGCGCACATGCGTGTGTTCACCTCCACTGCACTCTAAGGCAGCTGACTTAGCGGTGAAGGGGAAACCAGCCCTTGGTCTCGGCCACTGAGTGGCCCGCAGACCGCCTCGTTCAGGACTTGTTATTCCTAGAATGACTCTCCAGGTTTGCCTGAACCTAAAAGTGTCCACTGCTGGAGCTCTGGGTGGACGGGACACGTGCAGACTTCAGAGAGGCAGGTCTGAGCCCGACTCATTCCCAGTGGCACCGTTTCTGCAGCGGTGGCGAGAGGGGTGTGGTCGCTGTGGTCACCGAACCTCAGGGCAGGGACCTGAGGCTTCCTTTTCCACGACAGCCAACGCGTGTGTCCACCTGAAGCTCCTGGGTTGTGCGCTCCACTGGTTCACAGCAGATGGAGTAGTGTCGGATCCTTCCATTCACCCTGAGTAATCCTTGAAGCATCAGAGAAAGCCCTGAGATTTGAACACCCAGGATTAGAGAAAAGGGTGTGCTGATTATTTCGACTTTACATATATGTGTCTGCCCAGCAGGGGGCAGCTGGTGTTTGTTGACCACTTAGGACATTTCAGGCCCACAGGGGTCCCCGTCAGGCTTCCCAGTGACCCAGTGATTCCACCGTTTCATAAGGGGGTGTCTGGGGCAGACAGAGGCAAAGTCACTTGCCCAGAGTGACCACATGGATGACAGCCCCTGTGTCCCAGTCCCAGCTCCAGCCTGGCAAGCAGGTTCCGGGTCCTCTGGGGCCTTCTCCACATAAACCCCTGCCCCCCACTTCCTGCTCAGTGTCCCTGCTCCTGGGAGCCTGGTGGACTGTCTCCAGTTCATTTCCACTTTTGATAAGAACTGAGTGAAGTTTCTAAGGAGTACAGGCAACTGGGATCTGTACGAAGGAAGACAATGCTGCTTGTTTTGTTTCTAATATTTTTCTGAAATTAGCATGCTGCCATCTAAAATGTTAGGTGTTGCCGGGTATATTCTGAGTTAAGACACATCAGTTAGGAGCCCCTGTGAAGATTCCATGTCCTCAAGGTTTTGGAGTTGCCCGGGTAGAAGTACCATGAAAATGAAGGACGACAGAACAAAGGCGAGGCCTCGGAGGCTTTCTGGCCCGTGTCTGCGGGGCCGGCTTCTGCGGTGCACACCTGCCACCTTGAGCAGGGGCTTTGAGGGTTAGGCCAGTTCCTCCTCCTATGGTTGTGAGGCTGGCCCGAGTGCAGGCTGGTGTCAGGTGCCTCTCATAGTGATAGGGAAACGTGGTTCCTCTGGCCACCCACGGGTTCGGGGTGGGTTCTGCTACAGTTTGTGTTGGAGCTATCTCGCGGAGTTTTATCAAAGTTAGACCTGTTTGACTGCTAACTGAAACTTACTGGCTTAACTCAGCACCCCGCGTTCTATGACAGGACAGGCGAGGTGTGGTTCTCATTCTGGAGTGGGTCTCTGCCGCCTACCTCACGAGCTCCCGCGTTAGCTTTCCTCACAGACCGTGTTCCGGGAGACCGTTGATCAGACCCAGTGCTGCTGTAGGATGCTCCTGCTCATCTTAGAGTTCTAGGCAGACGTGGACACGGCTGGGGCTCAGCTAGTAAGGGCTTGACTCAACCCCACGGCTTTCTTCAGGGGCCTGAGGGCCTGGCCCTTCGCCCTTCGTTCACTGCATCTCCCTGGCCCCGTGTGTGTGTGTCAGCTGCCGGGGCGTCTCCCTCTGGGACGCCTGCAGTGTGTATCCACCGCCCCTTCTCCATTGCCCTCCGCACACAGCGGCACCTCCATGCCTGGGCTTCTGAACATAGTTGGGGAACATCACCCACCCACTGCTCTGAGAGTGAGGCTGCAGCCCCCACTGTGGCCGGCCCTCCCCATTTGGCAGGCTCCAGTGTGCCACTGCCACTTTCCTCCTAGCCGCTTTGCATGCACCCCTTCATCTGGAGCACAGCCCCGGCTCTCCTCAGGCCTTTGCTTGGCAGCCTCTGGCCGGGGCACCTCACCAGGGGACCTGCGGTCGGCTGGCACTCACCACTGCCTGCTCTCCGTGCTGGCCATGGTCTCTCCCGCCCCCAGTGTGAGCTCCGCTGAGCCAGGGACCTTGCTGTCTCGTGCATGCCAGTGCCCCTGCTGCCAGAGGGGCCAACAGGGCCACGGTGAGGGTGCACAAGCAAATGAACAAACTGAAAAACTCCGCGGGGAGGGACAGGCAGTGCCTGAGCCAGGGCAGGGAGGCTGAGGCTGCCCTCGGCGGCGGCTTGAGGAAGGCTCCACAGGGCGGGACAGCTGTGGCGAGGCTTAGAAGGGATGAGAGTTTGCTGGTAAAGATTCTTTTGAGAGCAAGGACCTAAAACGAAGGCTTTTGTCATTTCCTCTCATCTAGCTGGGCCCCTCCCTTTCTCAGACAAGCCCACCGGTGGGCGCTTCCCTTCCTTTGGAGACACGCAGTCTGGTTGGATGTGATGGGCGTGGAGTCTGACTGTTGGGCCCAGGTCTTTGCTCTGTCCTTGCCTGCTGGGCAACCCTGGGGCCATCCCCAAGCCTCCCGTGTTGATGGGGTCTTGGTGCCGGAGGCGAGGGTAGGTGGGAGCGTGAACAGGACAGCACTGGCCTGCGTCTCACAGCCTGGGCCCAAGCGTAGGCCTTCATGGTGACAGAAGCTGATCTGATTAGGTTCTCAATAAATACTACAGGGTCACTGCCCCAGCTGATAAACAGGGCGTTTCCTCCCTGTGTGGGTTGATTAAAAGCTAGCTGTCCAGACCAGAGCGTCCATCTCATCACAGGAAATTTGCACCAAGGAAGGCAGCGCCTGTGAGGTGCAGGCCACGTGCTTCCCCAGCAGTCCCTGAGGCGCAGTGGCCCCAGAGGTGGAGGTGTTGGCTGCCACCCTGACTCTGGCTGTGATGGTCTTGCCTGTCCTGGGCCTCTCTGACCTGTGAGATCTCCCCACTGGGGCCTCCACAGACTGTGGGCTTTGTGGTCTGAACTTTCTAAGTGCTGCAAGAGACAGGCTGTCCTCAGGCAGAGCTCCACAGAGGCTCACCTCGGGGTCGCCCACTCCGAGCACACGGCTGGCCCGGTGGGGAGGGAACTAGTAGGGAAGTGACGGGTTCAGCCCTGTTAGCAGATATTTTTTCTTCCGTTACTCCAATTTCTACTTAAGCAGGAGCTTTTCTGAGGTTTCTGTTGGAGTGAACCTATAAGTAATTATTTTTCGGCTCTTTTGTGATGTAATCTTTCCAATAAGAGCTGCTGATACCATGTATCACGTGATGTTAGATACTTCGCCTCCCTCCTGTGGTCTGGTCCGTAACATGAGGGCCTGGAGAATTATTTTTAAACCCATAGGATTGATGGGCTATTAACTGTGCTTCTGCTTTGGGTCACTAGCTTTTAGAGTGCCCTCTCCAACATGAAACCCTTTCATCATTCCTCGCATTGATTAAATACACCGCTTACTGAAGTCCGCTCTCTGTCACATGCATACCTGAAGATGGCAGCATCGTGGATGCATCAGGGCATGCCTTCCAGAAGGAGGGTCTCGGGTGACAGAAGAGCAGCTGAGATGCCACGAGCCAGACCTGGAGCCTGAGAACCTCACCATGAAAGGCTGGCCTTTAATTGTCAGGTTTGGTGGTGACTAAATGTGGTATTCTCTCCCCTTCTCTTTGCAATTTGTAGTACTTAGTCATGGATTACTATGTGGGTGGTGATTTACTGACCCTGCTCAGCAAATTTGAAGACAAGCTTCCAGAAGATATGGCGAGGTTCTACATTGGTGAAATGGTGCTGGCCATTGACTCCATCCATCAGCTTCATTACGTGCACAGGTAACCAGCTTCTGATATATTTTATGGAAACCACGTTTAATTGTTAAAATAATCCTTTCAGAGCTCCCAAGTCCAGGCCACCCCAGGAAGCCATGTAGGTCGCGAGTCCCCACAATGAGCTGCCGCAGCACAGACTGATTTGCCCACATCACTGTCTTCCAGCCCCAGCACCCAGTGGATCCCAGCTCTCATTGTTGCAGTTGTGATGGTCTAACTCCTGTCAGCTGAAGCCACTGTGTCTTTTGACATTTATTTGACATTGACTCAACCTCTCCCCGCCCAAGACCCCCTCCCTAAAATGCCGGTGCTCCCTGGGACTCATGTGGGGCCTGGGGGTCCTCTGTCTCCACTGCCCAAGACCCCCTCCCTGAAATGCCTGTGCTCCCTGGGGCTCACATGGGGCCCGGGGGTCCTCTCTCTCTACCGCCCGATACCCCCTCCCTAAAATGCCGGTGCTCCCTGGGACTCATGGTGCCTGGGGTCCTCTCTCTCTACCGCCCGATACCCCCTCCCTAAAATGCCGGTGCTCCCTGGGACTCATGGTACCTGGGGTCCTCTCTCTCTACCGCCCGATACCCCCTCCCTAAAATGCCTGTGCTCCCTGGGACTCATGGTACCTGGGGTCCTCTCTCTCTACCGCCCGATACCCCCTCCCTAAAATGCCGGTGCTCCCTGGGACTCACATGGGGCCCGGGGGTCCTCTCTCTCTACCGCCCGATACCCCCTCCCTAAAACGCCGGTGCTCCCTGGGACTCGTGGTGCCTGGGGTCCTCTCTACCGCCCGATACCCCCTCCCTAAAATGCCGGTGCTCCCTGGGACTCGTGGTACCTGGGGTCCTCTCTCTCTACCGCCCGAGACCCCCTCCCTAAAATGCCGGTGCTCCCTGGGACTTGTGGTACCTGGGGTCCTCTCTCTCTACTGCCCGAGACCCCCTCCCTAAAATGCCGGTGCTCCCTGGGGCTCATGTGGGGCTCGGGATCCTCTGTCCCTACCACCCTGAAATGCCTCGTATGGGGCCTGGGGCCCTCTGTCTCCACATCTTTCTCAACTCTGCTCTTCTCTGTGCCATGCTGACCCCTGAAGGGCCCCAGGAAACACAAAGGAAAGATGGGCTTGAGGAAGAGGCTTCCGTCACTACGACATGCAGGACTTGAGCTGAGAGAGCGTGTGGGGCAGAAGCCTGAAGCAGCTCCCTCTCCTGCTCTCCGGGGCCCCCTCCCCCTTCTCGGCTGGGAGGGCAGCTCCCCAGTGACTCAGCCACTGAGTCCACGTCTTCGCCTCCCTCTTGTCCTGAGACTCAAAGATTCAGTCCTGTGGTTTGTTTTGGTTTTTGTTTTTAAAAACTAGTTTTACTTGTGTGTTTATTACAAGATAATTTTATGGTAATAGGTTTAAAAAGTCAAACAGTTCTATAAAGCCTCCAACCAAAACCAAGCCCAGCCCTGGTGCCACTGATTATACTTGGTCAGATAACTATTGTAAACTTGTAGAATTACTTTTCCAGCATCTACCTTCATGTGTCTTAAGTCACAGGTTTATATTGCTGATTTCTTTCTTTTCTTTTTTGGCTTCAGATCACATCTGTTAAATTGAAATTGTAACTCTTTTACATAATTACCTCTTTCTCTCTCTCACCCATCTCTCCCACATATACTTCCAAACTCTCTTCCCTTCTCCCACATCATCCTTTTTATTTTTATTTTGGTATATTTTTTAGGATGGAGTCTTGCTCTGCCACCCAGGCTGGAGTGTAATGACGTGATTTCACTCACTGTAGCCTCTGCCTCCTGGGTTCAAGAGATTCTCCTGCCTCAGGCTCCTGAGTAGCTGGGACTACAGGTGCCCACCACCTCGCCCGGCTATTTTTTTTTTTTTTTTTTTTTTGAGACGGAGTCTCGCTCTGTCGCCCAGGCTGGAGTATGGGGGTGCCATCTCGGCTCACTGCAAGCTCCGCCTCCCGGGTTCACACCATTCTCCTGCCTCAGCCTCCTGAGTCGCTGGGACTACAGGGGCCCACCACCACGCCCAGCTAATTTTTTGTATCTTTTAGTAGAGATGGTGTTTCACAATGTTAGCCAGGCTGGTCTTGATCTCCTGACCTCGTGATCCACCTGCCTCAGCCTCCCAAAGTGCTGGGATTACAGGCATGAGCCACTGCGCCCAGCCTAATTTTTTTTCATTTTTAGTAGAGATGGGAGTTTGCCACTTTGGCCAGGCTGGTCTTGAATTCCTGACCTCAAGTGATCCACCCACCTCAGCCTCCCAATGTGCTGGGATTACAGGCGTGAGCCACCGCGCCCGGCCCCACATCATCCTGATTAGTATGGTTAAAAACTATCCTTTTAGCTGTGGTTCAGTCAGAGTTTGGTGTTGATAATGCTATGACTGTGTAACTATGACAGCAGTGTTGTAGTTGAGAACTACACTTATATAAACTTTTGCTTTCTCTGGAGTTGATAATTGCCTTGCTTTTTGTTAGTTTTTTTTTGTAGCTGTCACTAATTTGTCCCCAGATATTATGGCCACGTTACGAAGCTCTGTACCCGGACATGCATCGGGTAGTCTCGGTCTGGTTTTCCTTGGCGCTGTCCCTTCCATCGTTCCCCTCCTCTCTTCCGCATTGGTTCCTCGTTTGTTCCGTGCTACACTCATTCTGAGATGGCTTTTCAAGTGCAGAGATTCCCTCTCCCTTTCTGGGATTGGCTCCCTGGTTTTACGAGTCATTCATTTTTCTTTTTCTTGGCTTTTAGTTTGGCTTGGTAGCGCATGTCCTTCAGTGGTATCTGGAACGGGGGTATATGAGATAGTTTTTTGAGATCAGTGTCTTAACTCCGTGTGTGTCTGTGACTGGTGCTTTATCCAGTGTGGAGTTTTTGGTTGTAAACCACTTTCCCTTTGGAATTTTGCAGGCATCACGTGTGTCTGTGCCTTCCGCCCTGAGGCTGCTCTGGAGAGGTGGGAGGCCATTGTGGTCTCCCTGGCTTTGTGTTCTGAGCTGTAGGCCTGTGCTCGGGCCCCCTCCGTGGTGATCAGGAGGCTTTCCCAAGCAGACACAGCCCCTCCTGCGTGGGGAGCGAGGGCGCCGCTGAGTTACAGCTCTTCCATCTTGCTGGAGTGCTGCCGTGTTGCTAGAGGAGGAAGTTGAGGCTAGAGAGGTGGGCGCCTTGCCTCAGCCATGCTGCTGATGGCTTACACCTCCCAGTGCACAGGGAGCTGTCCTGAAAGAACAGACACTCGTTTAGTGTGATGAGATTGTGGACATTGCTTCTCTTTCTTTCCTTTTAAAAAATACATTTCTTAACGTAGTTATGCCTGCTTTTATAAGTTAGTATAAGGTTTTATTGATTGATTGACTAAGATGGAGTCTCACTCTTGTTAACCAGGCTGGAGTGCAATGGCACGATCTCGGCTCACCGCAATCTCCACCTTCCAGGTTCAAGCAACTCCTGCCTCAGCCTCCCGAGTAGCTGGGATTACAGGCATGCACCACCATGCCCGGCTAATTTTGTATTTTTAGTAGAGACAGGGTTTCTCCATGTTGGTCAAGCTGGTCTAGGACTCCTGACCTCAGGTGATCCACCCACCTCGGCCTCCCAAGGTGCTGGGATTACAGGCGTGAGCCACTGCATCCAGCCCATAAGTTAGTATAGTTTTTAACAGTTAGGTTTATACTCTCTTCTTGGTAGAACTTAATTCACAATAGAGAAATAAGTGTCTTTGTATTTATCACAGATCTCCAGGGAAATTAGTTTGACCACCTTTTTAATTGTTTTCTCCCCCTAAATAGAAAGTGTTCTCCTCATTCCTTTTTTTTTTTTTTTTTTTTTTTTTTTTTGAGACGGAGTCTTGCTCTGTCGCCCAGGCTGGAGTGCAGTGGCGCGATCTCGGCTCACTGCAAGCTCTGCCTCCTGGGTTCACGCCATTCTCCTGCCTCAGCCTCCCGAGTAACTGGGTCTACAGGCGCCTGCCACCACGCCCGGCTACTGTTTTGTATTTTTAGTAGAGACGGGGTTTCTTTCACCGTGTTAGCTAGGATGGTCTTGATCTCCTGACCTCGTAATCTGCCCGCCTCAGCCTCCCAAAGTTCTGGGATTACAGGCGGGAGCCATCCTCATTCTCTTAATTGGCTGTGTAGAAGCTTTGCTCAGTCGTTTGACCTCCAGGCTTAGTAGACATCAAAATATGTAATGTTTAAAACTTTATTTTTCCCCCCAAATTAACCCATTATTCAGACTGAGTGCCCAGATGCAATCTAAAATAGAGATGTTTCTAGGAGGCTTGTCTTACCCCAGTCTCAGGTGGGGACATTGTGAACATTTGGTGGGGTCAGAAAGAAATGTCATTGGCGCCAGAGTGGTGCCGCTGGCCGATGTAACTGTGTGGTTTGGAGCCTGTGCCACTGCGCTGCCGCTTGGGCCCCTTCCTGTGGTTGGTTAGGTGCTGCCGGGATTCCATCCCGCCAGGCGGGGGTCTGCAGCTTTCATAGCTGCTGCCTGGCTTCTGCAGCTGGACCCCAAAAGCTTTCTGGGTGAGGAGATCAGTGGGAGACCAGGACCCAGCGTGTGCCCCTCACAGGTTTGTACAGCTCCTTCCTGAGAGGTCAGCCCCTGGTGATATCAGGAAAGGCAGAGATCACGAATGGCACAAAGTGTTTCAGAGAGAGAGAACACTGGCCAGACACAGTGGCTCACGCCTGTAATCAGTACTTTGGGAGGCCAAGGCAGGTGGATCACCTGAGGTCAGGAGTTCAAGACCTGCCTGGCCAACATGGTAAAACCCTGTCTCTACTAAAAATACAAAAAATTAGCCAGGCTTAGTGATGAGCACCTGTACTCCCAGCTACTCAGGAGGCTGGGGCGGGAAAATCACTTGAACCCGCAAAGTGGAGTTTGCAGTGAGCCGAGATCGTGCCATTGCACTCCAGCCTGGGCAACAAGAGCGAAACTCTGTCTCAAAAAAAAAAAAAGAGAGAGAGAGAACATCACATCCCCAAAGAGAG